CTTTGGACTATCCCTCATTATGGGTACTTCTCATCCCATGTTTCTAGAAGGCACAGTAGTAAATACCCCCATTTCCTTTTCCTGTGAATTTATTTTAAGGTCAAAATGAGACTGGGAGCATTGTTTTTTGTTACAGAACCTAATTGAACTTGAGCACATGACATTGTTGCTAAAAATATGTCAGGGTATGTTTCAACCAGTACAAGTGGCTAGATATCTTACACAGTATTTGGACTTTTCATATATTTCTCTGAAAAATTAACATTTCAGGTTGTTCCAATTTAAACTGTCAAAAAAACTGTTATCAAAAACAGAAAATCTGGACACTTGATCTATAAAGATGCACCATTAAATAACTTCTTTGTTCTCATCAAAAGTTGAAGGGATTGAGGAGCAGCTATAAGCCCAGAGGGAGGAGAAGATGAATGCTTCCAGCAATAACATCTTGCTGAGAAGGCAGGAAAATAAGAACTTGATGATCAGATGGTTCGGGTTGGGGGAGGAGGGTGTGGCCTGACTTGGGTGGGTCACATGGTTCCCTAAGGCCCTTCTTTGCTGGCTGCAGACCAGGTAGGACACCCATGGGTGCCCAGAAGATCAAAAGAGACAGCCTTGATTGTGTATGGGTTTGGGGATGATGCAGAGAGTGCCTTAATTTTCCTTTACACACCCCATGTCCCTTCCAGTTGTTCATACAGTACCTATGAAAAGAGGCCTTTTTGTTCAGTTACTTTCACTTTGTGGATTCAGGACAGAGGGACTTGAAACATTACAGTATTTTTCAATGCTTATATCCATTACTGAGATTTCTACTGATACTGTTTGGATACCAAATTAAAGCCCAAATTTATAAACAGTAGAATACATTTAAAAACTTAATTTGGACATCACAATACAGATGCAATTTCACAAAACCCAAATTTCAATTTCATCTCTTTCACTTGTTTCAGACAATACCAGATAGACTAGGGTGTAGGATGGGTACTGGCTTGAAACCTGCCTAAACCTCGTTGCCTGTCTCATGTATATCTCAACACTTAGAAGATCTTCTAAAAGTAATTTTGGTATGGAATAGCAACCATTAATGTTACTATTTTTTGAGCATTTGCTATCTTTTAGGCACTGTACTTTATATATATTATTTCATTTTCTCCTCTTAACAGTCTTAAGATGTAAATACTATTATAGTCACTGTTGTACAGATGAGAAAAGTGCAACAGATGTTAATTCACTTATCCAGAGTCACACAGCTGGTACATGTGGGAGCCTGGATAAGTAATGGGAGCTCAGTGAAAAAATTCTGTGGAAAAGGGGAATATATAAAGATAACAATAAAAGTCTCTCATTATTATAGCACTGTAGGGCAAATACCATTTTCACTGTGGTATATTTATTTATAGTTTTTCCTCTACAGCATATACATGTACAGATAATACATAAAATTCTGTGATTAAATGCAAAAACTAAATTATATACATACATAATTTTAAATTATATATATAACAAGTGGTCATTTACATATAGACTTGTTTATACTTTTAGTTTTATTATAAACTTATGAATAAATACTTTTATAACTGAAATTTATAAATATAAATTTAACATCTTATAGTGTGTATTTTTCATAATAAATTTATACAAAATCATTTTAAAGATTTTAAAAATCAGAAAAAGTGCAAGGAAATAAAAACTGCCCATCACAGGCTTTACCACTCTTAAAACTTTTAAACTTACCTTGATTTTATAAATATATAGATTCACATATCTGAGAGCTGACCACATATGCAATACTCTGTTCTTTTATTTTTTTCAATATTTTGAAGTTAGTATTTTCAAGCTTATTCCTTGAAGTCACTATTTTCAGTAGACATCTAGTGTTCCCAACTTTGAATGCAACATTAATTAGCTTCACCATTTTCCTACAGGCAGCTGATGTGGCTTCCACCACATGGCGTTTTGCGTTACTCACAGGTGATTCTCTACCTTTAAATCCAGACTTCTCAGACTGTAAAGTGCACAAGAATCCTCTGGGAACCTTGTAAAATGAGATTGTCATTCAGTAGGACTAGTTGAGGTTTGATTTTCTGCATTTGTAACAAGCTCCTAGGTGAAGTGGATGCTGCTGATCCATGAATCAAACTTTGAGTACCAAGGACTTGGAGTACTTATCTAAATAATTCCATTTTCAAATATGCAATAATAACCCATATAAGCAGTGATGCCTCAATATATCGAGCATTAGCCTTGCTCCAAGCACTTGTAAGAGCTTTATATGTATTATTGACATTACTCTTCTCAACACCTCCTTCGGGTTAATATGTTTTCTATTTTAAAATAAAGAAAATGAATCAGAGATATGTTATGCAATTTATCCAGAGTAAGACAGCAAATATGGGGAGGTTGGATATATAATAAAGGGTCGTTGAAGAAACACTGAGAAATAGGGAAACCTAAAACAACAATAAATGTCACTCTCAGTGTATCATTCTAGAGTGGTGATTGAGAAATGTTTTCTGTAGAGGGCCAAATGGTGACATTTTCGGCTTTGTGGGTCTCTGCCACAACTACTCAACTCTGCCATTGTAGTGCAAAAGTAGCTACAGACAATTTGTAAACATATGGACAAGGTTGTGTTTCAGTAAAACTTTATTTACAAAACTGGGGGGTTGCTAGGTATGGACATAGTTTCCTGACTTCCTGTTCCATGGTAACCATTATGATAAATTGTAGTGTTTAAGTTTTGTTTTTCCTGGGAGATACAGTGTGGTAATATTATTCCACAGAAAATTATAAATATATAACTATATTAAGTATCTCTTATATGTATAGATATAGTTTATATTGTTATATGAACAATCTCATTATTAAATGTATAGATCAATAAAATATTGACTGTTATGTATACGTAATAGAAGCTTTTTGATAAAATGTACAAAATCTGTACATGTACCAAGAAGAATTAAAAACACCTATCCTTCCAGGAACGTCCACTCTTTAAACTTTAAAGAATTCCTTTGCATTTGTTCTTTTTATGTATTTGAGAGCTTACTATATATAAACCAGTTCTGTATTTGACATTTTCCATGCTAATATGTGGTGAATATGTTCAAGTTTACTCATAATTGATCAAAAAAACATGTTTTTAATGGCTCCATAATATTTTGTCACTTCAAAGCCTCATAGTTAAGGTGCCCTTTTCCCTCCTGTTCATCACTGTAGTGTTTCCCTGTTGTTGAGTGTTGAAAAGTCAGGGTGGCTCCATCTCTCTCTTTTTTTTTTTAAGATTTTATTTATTTGACAGAGAGAGACACAGCGAGAGGGAACACAAGCAGGGGGAGTGGGAGAGGGAGAAGCAGGCTTCCCGTGGAGCAGGGAGCCCAATGCAGGGCTCGATCCCAGGACTCTGGGATCATGACCTGAGCCGAAGGCAGACGCTTAACGACTGAGCCACCCAGGCGCCCCAGGGTGGCTCCATCTCTTGAGATCCATCTCCTGGTAGCCACGTTAATCAAACTCTGCACTGTTCTTTGAGTATCAAATGAAGTAATCTGTATTTAGCACAGACAATGTGAGAAGCCTAATCCCTCTTTTCATTCACTTCTTTCTGGAAAGGGTTCATGTTCTCTGACTCTATATTCCATTCAGGGGTCTTCTTACTTTGTTTCTGTAGACACCTTAGGGGATAGGTGAGGCCGTGTTGAGATTCAGGCCCTCGGGTTCCTCCTTTTGGGGACCCATCCCAGTCAGGAATCATGATGGACAGGGCGTGGGACACAAGATCCTGAGTTTGCCCCTGGGAAGGTTCTGACACTGCTGTCACAGGAGTTCATTCTGCTTCCATAGCATCTCTGCACTTGATAGCACCACCTGATTCTTAGAAGGAGAAACAATGAATGTCATGATCTCAGGAACTAGAGGTAAATGGTAGGCATGGCAATTATGTGATCAGATATCCGTGTTACTAGAGGCAACAAATTTTTGTGAAGTAAAGGTTTTTCGCCATCCTTTGAAAGTAGACTCCTAAGTGATGGGAGGGGATTTTTATATTTTCACACATTACACTGTGTGTTTCCTTATTTCTTGAAAACTCACAACCATCCAGTTACTAATCACAAAACTCAATTCTCAAGAATTATCTTTCATTTTATTAATTTGTGAGGGACATTGCCTTTCTTTTCTTTAGAGATGTAGGAAGGGTGTATTATCTTTCTTTTTAACCATCTGATCCTTATTCAGGATCTTTGGTTTCTTTGTAGAACCCTGGAGAACAAAGTCAGAGGCATATCCACCATGTTGGAGGAACCTGATGCGCTCAGGGGTCTCTTCCAATGGAACAGTGCTGGTCTTCTCCCAGCATTGATCCCTGAATGTGGAGTGAGGTGCCGCTTCTACCTCTAGGATACAGGATTTATACCTTGGTTTCTCCTATACCCCAAATACCTGATGTATACTTCAGGATTTAATGGTCACTGGATTCCTTCAGGATAGCCACAGACACTAATAAAAGACATACAATTTTTACATCTGACAGATCATTGCACCTCTGAAGAACTGTAATGGCAGTGAATAAAATCAGTAAGTATTAACAACCAGAAATATTTATGTAAAATGTATACCCCTTCCTGTCTTCATTCTGAACCATTCAAATACTAGCCTTCCTTGCCTCTACAGTGAAATAACAGAAAAATAGATTTTTCTCTGAACCATCTGCCCTGTATCTTCATAGTTTACGGGCAGCTGAATTTAGTGGGAAATGGTGTCAAATTGCTATAATTTGGACCACAAGTGCTGATATTACATGGGGCTCACGGTGTGAGCTGAAGTTACAATGTCTTCCTGCAAACTTCAGGAAATACTGCAGAGCGAGCAGGTCAGACTGGGCGCCCAGCTGTGCAGCCTCTGTGGTTGCCCATATTGAGAAGGATGGGGTGGGTCAGACCTGAAGATGGTTCTTGTGTAGCTTCTCTTGGCAACGCTGATGCTGTGGATCCTATTCCAGCTGCTACAGTAGTACATGGCCTCGTCTTCTTTCTCTAGAAAATGTATTTTCAACGTTGCAGTGGAAGTGCCAGCATTTTTGCTTGCCTCAAGTTTGTTGTTCTTCCCACCTAAAGAAACTTGAACATGGTTTGTTATGACATTTGTTAGATGTTCTATCTCCTGATCTGGTTTCTGCCGGTAGAAGTATATGGTTTCACTGTTAAAGTCCTTAGCAGACACCTTGCATAATATGTGGGCACTCTTATCTTTTTCTCTGGAAATTGATATTTCAGGTTGCTCCAACATTGCCTGCCCAAGGCCAACTGCAAGCAAAGAAGAGAAATTCCCATGAACAAATGATATGGAAAAAATTTCTTGAATCTCTCCTGTAGACTGAAGTGACTGGGGGACAGCTCACAAGCCCAGAGGCAGGAGAAGATGACTGCTTCTAGCAGTAGCATCCCGTTGGCCTGGCTGGGTCCCCAATGACAAGGTAAGAAGTGAGGTCCCTATTAGCAGGACTTGTCATGTCAGTCGCTGGCGGGCGGGTCTGGTTCAGGTTTCTCAGTAGTTCCCTGGGGTTCTTCATGATCAGCCACAGATATGAGCAGATCTGGGGCTTTCTGTGCCCCGTAAGTGCTGGGCAGATGGGGTAAGAGGGCTCCCAATCTGGAAAGAAATTCCCTGTTTGAATGTTTCCATCTGAGTTTGGCAGGATGGTTCTCACACCCACTCAGCCATTTCCCCCTGGAATCCATACTACAGAAACATTGCTCAGAAACATAAGGACAGGGCGCCTGGGTGGCTCAGTTGGTTAAGCAACTGCCTTCGGCTCAAGTCATGATCCTGGAGTCCCGGGATCGAGTCCCGCATCGGGCTCCCTGCTCGGCAGGGAGTCTGCTTCTCCCTCTGATCCTCCTCCCTCTCATGCTCTCTGTCTCTCATTCTCTCTCTCAAAATAAATAAATAAACAAAATCTTTAAAAAAAAAAAAAAAGATTGTTTAAAAAAAAAAAAAAGAAAAGAAACATAAGGACAGACCTCCTGTGTTCAGCCCCTATGTCTGTCTGTCTCTGATTTGCTGTTGATCTGAGACTCAGATAGGATACCTGACCTTTACTCTTTGTAATACAGCACAACAAAACAATAACCAGACACCGAAATATCTCACTGATGTTACTGAATATGCCATGTACACAAGCACCAGAGTATTTTGTGTTTTCTAAAGTTAATTGAGTGGTCACCAGTCATATTAGGACTCAGAGAAATCAAATTTCATTTAAAACTGGGGTGCTTCCAAGAAGGGACTAGGATGCAATTGCTGGGGATACAGGGGTCAGAGCAGTCTCTGGAAATCAGTTTCTATTCGCCCTGGGCCTTACAACTGTCTCATGAGCATGATGTCACAGGCATGATCATTTTCAAAGAAATGTTGTGTTTCATATCTAATGATAAGCTTTATAATTAATATACATCTAATATCCATTGTGGACTTGCAGTTTGTCAGGCATTGTTTTAAAACATTTTCTTGTACTATTTTATTTAATCCTCTCCACAGCCACATGTGATAGCTGTTATGATTAATCTCCACTTCACAAAAGAGGACAGTGGAAAAGAAAAGTGACTCATGCAAAGATACAGAACCAGTAAATATGAGAACACATATAAGAGTTGTTCCTTGAAGAAAATATGAGAAAAAATGAGATATAAAAATAACAATACCAGGCACCCATCATTTACCATTACTTTGAATTTTTTTTACATACTTACAAATAGAAGCAAGCTTGCTTGGAATTTTATATATACATGTACATTTTAAAGGGAGATTTGCATATTTGGCTTTCTATTTTCTTTATTTGGTTAACTTATTACTGTGAGCAATATTACAATTCTTTTAAATTATGTATGAGAATATTATTTTTAAGTGCCAGAGTTAATTAAACACCCTCCTCTACCACTTAACCCATTTAGTTAACTTTGTGTTTTGAAAATTTATCAGGTCCTTAAAATGTTATTGTGTATGTTTTTAATGACCTATGAAAATAGGTACCCTCCTATACTACTTACTCCTTTGGATGGTGGCTGAGTTATTTAATTATTTCATATGTGAGTGTCTATATCTGTAATTGTCACAATAAATATCTTTCAGAAATTTAATTATGTTATCACTCTAAAAATGATAATGAACATAATGTACATTCTGTGCCTGGCAATAATATGTGCTTTTTATGTTTTCAAGTTATATTTTTATTATTACTGAAAAACAGGAAAAAGACTTTGTTAAATAATATTTTAATTGTGGGGTGCCTGGGTGGCTCAGTAGGTTAAGCGTCCAACTCTTGATTTCGGCTCAGGTCATGATGTCAGGGTTGTGAGATCCATCCCCGTTGGGCTCCACACTGAGCCTGCTTAAGATTCTCTCTCTCCCTCTCTTTCTGCCCCTCCCCCCAACTCACACACAAGCTCTCTCTCTTAAAAAAGAAAAATAATATTTTAATTGTAAAAATTCTTGTAGTTCCTTTCTTGAAAATGTATAAAATCAGTAAAAGAATAAGGGAGGAAGTAACCCATCCACCCTTTAAGGGAAAAAGGCTATCTTAAAACTCAGATATTCCAGGGGTGCCTGGGGGGCTCAGCCGGTTATGTGTCCAATTCTTGATTCAGCTCAGGTCCTGATCTCAGAGTCATGATCTCAAGGTCCTGAGATCGAGCCCTGCATCAGGCTCTGTGCTGAGCATGGAGTCTGCTTTGTTCTAGGCACCACCAACATCTCCTTTCATGGCTGCTATTTGTCATGGTTTAGCATAAGCAGAGGAAGGGCTCCAGGTGACATGACCTCTGTGGGAGAATAAAACTATGCCAGCTACAAATTTCCAAAACATCATCCTTATTGAACATTTTGATTTCTTACTTTGGTCCACGTACATGGTTTTGACCACTCTCCATGTTGTTGATCCATGATATTTTCTGCTAAAGCAAGTTCAAAATACAGAGAAGATACGTGATTTTTCTTAGCCTTTTCCCCTCCACTAGCAGGTAGGGTTCTGGGGAAGACTGTCCACAATGGGAACTCTTCCAGATGTCTGCCCACTGTGCCCCTTTCACCCTGGCTTCTTGAATGACCGGTCATTCTGTCCTGACCAAGCTCTGCTGGGCTGGGCAGCAGGAGTGGGACCACCTGTGTTTATCCACAAATGCCAGAGTATATTCTTGTAAAGTTAACAAACACTCAGGGAATTCAAAGTGACCCAATAGTGCAATCAAAACAGCATGGACTATGTATTTGGAAACATATCTGTTCCTCTCTAAGCATCAATTCTTTCTTCCATGAAATGAGTTTATTTACAGATTTTTATCATGATCACATGATTTCCTGGATAGACACAACATTTAGCTCATTATCTGGCAGACAATGGAGCTAAATGGATATCAATTCCATTTTGTTCATTGCCAGCACCTTCAGGCTGAGCTTTCACACTTACTGAAAATCTCTGGGGAATGAAATACTGCACCTTGCTTCTCTCTGAGATAATCAGACCATTTCAACATACACAGTCTCTAAATAGGAACCCAAGTCAACACCAGACATTTGGGTGCATGGTTAGTGACATCTGTGGGGGTACAACTGATAGCCATCAGACTCCCTTTCCTCTTTCCTCTGCTACCAAGGCATTGACCAGAGAGGCTCAGGAAGTAGTGCAGGCTGAGGCTGAGGCCCAGTCAGGGCTGAGGTCTGGGCTTGGGACCAGTGTTGCTCAGCGTTGGGAAGGATGTGGTCACAATCATAAGGGGGGCAAGGGTGTGCTTATTAACTTGGCTGTAATGATACTGTATGCCTAGGGGCCTTTATATTAGGTCAAAATCATGTCCTCTTCTTCTGTGCATTTTACATTAAGGATCAAAGAGGAACAGACAGAATTTTATGTGCCTCATGGTTGTATTTCTTTGTCTGTAACTGATATTGAACAAGGTTTTTTTTCCAAGGAATTATCTGATTCGCAAAAACCTGATTTGGTGTTTGTCAGTACCTGTGTGTATGAAGAGTTAAATCCGGATACTCTGCAATGAAAATGTCATTTCTCCTATTGAAATAAATTTTTTCAATTGCTTCAATTATAGCTGTGCATGTGCAACTATAAACAAAAGAATAGCATTTCCAAAAAAAAAAAAAAAAGCCAAAGTTGTCAAGGAATAAAACATTAATTTTTAAAAAATCCTTCAACCAATCTGAGAAGTAGGGGAACACATTCACATTCCAAGAGGGAAGAGCAAATGAATATTTGTAGCCATAACATCCTGTCTGCTCAGGCTGTATGCCCAAGAAGAAGATGAGGAAGAGATAGAGAACCTGGAACATGAAAAAGAGGGAGTCTGCCAGAGTGTTAACAGTGGAAATGGGTGTCTCAGGGCCCGCTGCCCAGATCAGTCATTTCTGAGATTGCTCTTATGGTCAGCTTTACCCATATCTATCTGATACCAAATGAGCAACAAGCAGTCCATTTACTAAGGTAAAAGTTACCCCTAGGATAATTCTTAGGAAGATTATTATTTCAAGATTATTTAGTTGATTTCAGTAGGAAAGTTGGCCCACAAGTTACCAAGATGACCTGACATCACCTTTTGACTTCTTAGGTGAGAGTCATCACTGGTCTCTCTGCCCATCTAACCCACAGGACACAGGTCAAACACTTCCAAGACCCTTTATACAGACCTCGGCTCTGAATCTACGGTGGCCCCAGGGCCTGGGAGTCCCCTTGTTTGGTATGGGAGTGGGTGTGCTGTCTCCCCAACTCCTCATTGGAAGAAGAGAGAGGTTGCCATGACACTCCCAATTGTACTCTTTAGAGAAAGACTCCATGGAATCAATGTCCCCAAGGATTTAGGCTCTCCTTGTATCTGGGCTGGATGTAGCTCAGGAACCCAAGATTGGAGTTATCAATTTTGTCCATCTCCTAAGGTAGCTAGGCCAGGGTTTCTCAACCTCAGCATTATTGACATTTTGGGCTCAATATTTGTTTGACATGGGGGTGGGGCTGTCTTGTGCCCAGTAGGATGTTTAGCAACATTCCTGGCCTCTACTCAACAAGATATCTATAGCACCCCCAACCTTTTGTGATGACCAGAAATGTTTTCAGACACTGCCAATATCCTCTGGAGGGGGGATTGCACCCAGTTAAGAATCACTGGTCTAGGCCCCTTCCTGTAGGATACAGGCATATGTTCTTACTCTTGTCTTGAGCTTGAGCTTGAGCTTCAGCCAGCCAAGAATGGGACAAAATGAAGCTACCATTAAACATCCAGCACACAAAAGTTCTATTCACTCATGAACAACATCATTAATTCTTTAGTATGTTCTCTGTCTTTGGTGATTTTTCTCCCTTATCTGGGTGAGTGTAACAGCAAATGACCCTGTCACTTTGTTAGCATATAGGTTCTGCCTTGTTTGACCAGTTCTTTCTGTT